AAGGTCCCTTCCAACCCAAACCATTCCATGATTCTGTGACCCTGTGAACAAGCATCTCTCCTTGTTCCCTGAAGACTTTCACACAGACTTTCACAAAGAATTTGCTGCTTTCAGCCCCCCCGTTGTCATTAAACACTTGGTGCAGGTAATGCCCAGTGATCTCATAGCTGCTCTGTTACTGTTACTGGGGCTTTCAGCAGTTCACAGCAGAGCTGACAAATACTGCTGCTGTTTTGGGAGGTGGATTCCAGTGTAAGAGGCCAATACAGCCAGCAAATCCAGTCCTGTCACGCTTCCTGCCTTAAGGCATGTTGATAATCCTGGGAGGAATAGCCTCAGTTACACATGGCTTCGATGTCTTAACACAAGAACCCTTCCCATGATAGTCCCCCGTGTGTTCCACAGCTTCACCAGTGAAGTGCCCAAACTGCCCCTGAGGCTGGATGAGGCACCTGGGAGCAGAGGAAGTTGTTTGGCTTCCCACTGCCAGCCAAGTAGGAAGGAGAGTTAACCCTCTCTCCTGCATTCCAGTGGAGGTTTGTTTTCAGCCTCAGAAGTGTGGCAGATGGTGAGGGTTGTTGTCTTGGCCGCAGGCGATGTCCCCTGACGGGGAGGCCATTGTCACAGGAGCCGGGGACGAGACCTTGCGCTTCTGGAACGTCTTCAGTAAAACTCGCTCCACAAAGGTGAGGCCACTGGGGGAATGTGGGGGTGGCTACTCTGGGGGGGAACTCAGGGAATGTTGGCTCTGCTCTGCTGCCTTCCCTCTGATCCCTTCACTGCATCCTGCAGATCAAGGGCCGGGGGCAGGGGAGGGTTCAACTTTGCTGAGGTTTAATGGATTTGTCATCAAATGAAGTAAAAGGTCACCCTGTGTGCCCAAGGCAGTGTGACACAACATCCCTGTCCAGGCTGGTCCAGGGCTGCTGAGCAGCGTTTTGGGGGGCTCACCCTGAACCCACCATCTTCCTGCTGGTGTGTGGCTGTGAACTGAGCCCTCAGGGGTGACAGCAGGCTGGCACCTGAGGCTGTTCAGTCTGGAGAAGAGAAGGCTCTGGAGAGACCTGAAGCCCATCTCAGTTCCTAAAGGGGCTCCAGGAGACCTGGAGAGGGACTTCAGACAAGGCTTGGAGGGACAGGACAAAGGGGAATGGCTTCCCACTGCCAGAGGGCAGGTCTGGATTAGATTTTAGGGAAAAACTCTTCCCTGTGAGAGTGGTGAGGCCCTGGCACAGGTTGCCCAGAGAAGCTGTGGCTGCCCCATCCCTGGAAGTGTCCAAGGCCAGGCTGGACGGGGCTTGGAGCAGCCTGGGCTAGTGGAAGGTGTCCCTGCCCATGGCAGAGGGCGGGATGAGATGAGCTTTAAGGTCTCTTCCAACCCAAACCATTCTGTGCTTATCCTATAGCTCCTTACTAAACTTCTTAAAATAGGGTCTTGGATGGAAATGGGGTCATGGATGCTGCCAATGACAGTTCACCATCACCAAAGGCAGGTTGTGCCCAGTGTTCCGAGAGCTTTTCTGGGTGGCTGGCAGAGGGATCTGGAGGATGGGGCTGGGGGAGCAGGCACTGCTGCTGGGGGTCCCCCAATTGCTACCTGCTCTGGGGCACAGCTCTCTGCAGAGCTGTGGGAACGGCATACTGGCCTGCTGTGCTCCTTGTTATCAATTGGAAGTAGCCCATGGGAATATTTATGGTGTTGGACTTCGGATGGTGAGCTGGGATCGTGCCCTGAGCTAGAGATACCTCCCCAGATTAAAACCAAACCAACCCAAAAGCATGTGGAGTTAGAGCTGTGGAGGACTTACCCCCTGCTTTGTCTTCTCAGGAGTCTGTGTCCGTGCTTAACCTCTTCACCAGGATACGATAAACCCTCTCCCTGCACCCCAGGAACCTACAGCCTGACATTCCAGGATCAGACCACTCCCTCGGCCTGCATGGACCCCCGGAGCCCAGCCGAGGGGAGGGAGAGCTGAGGGACTGGAGGAGGACCCAGCTCAATAAATACGTGCTTGTGATCCACGCTGGGCAGTACTGGGGATGGGGTGGGGAGGGGAGGGAACTGCCAAAGGTTTGTGGATTCATCTTTCATAAAGGGAAACGGGTACAAGAGAAATGTTAACCCAGCATCCTCCAGCCCTCCGGGTGGAACCAGGGAGGACTCGTGTGACATGGACCACTGAGACCGGACTGAGGCCATCCCCACGGCCGTGGTGTCCCTCCTGGGAGAGAGGAGCATATCCTTGCCGCTGTGGGAAGGGGTTTGACGTGCTGCTCTGGGTCCCTGTGTCCTTGGTGACATCTCTGGAGGCAGGAGCCAGCCAGACTGGGCCGGTACCACTGGTGCAAGTGGACACGGCTCCAGCTGGGCATCGAAGGGCTTTGTTCATAGCCTGGCATCCCCATTCCAGGAAGAAACTGGAGAACTGCCTATTTTCCTTTGTTTTTTTCTTTATTTTTCCACCCAGACAGGTACTGTAGTACTTGACATAATCATTCCCATGAAACAGCTTGATTTTTCTGGCGTGCTTGGCAGCTGCCTCTGAACAAACACGTTTTGGGGCTCTAAACTTTGGAGGAGACTTGGAAAAGCTTCACCTCCGAGGGAGCAGATTCGGGAAGTTCTGCAGGTGCTCTTGCATGTTCTGGGCTGATCCTGTGAGTTACCAGAGAGGAGAAACAAGGACTGTATAAAAAAAGAAACCCAATCCCCCCGTGCATGTGGAGCTTCCCCCAGTGCCTTGCTCCAGAGTCTCCCTGAGGCCAGAAGCAGTTGGGATATGTTTGAGAGCCAAAACAACTCCTGAGGATCTGATTGCTGGGGCGAGCAGGGCCTCTTCTGGCTGGAAGAGGGGTTCTAAAGCAGGGCTGCATTGTTGCTTTTTGCTGTCTCCAAGTCCCAGCCAGGGCCCTGCTGTCAGATTTTGGGGTGTGGTTTTTAGGTCATGTGGGACGAGAGTTCGGCTGGTGTTGGAGCCCGTGGGGTGACACAAACGCTTGTGTGTGTGAGTGTTGCTTTTAATTTAAGAGGAGCTGTGAGGCTGCACAGCCTGTCCTGTCTGACGTGTGTATGTGCCTGCCCTGCCCGGGCCCTGCCTGCCTCCTGCCCTTTCCCAGCACTGCTTCCTGTTCCCGTGTGGAATTCCCTGGCTGTGTATATAGACCTTGCCCTCTCTCTGCAGATTACGTAGGTAATGCTTTCCTCTCTTCTTTCTCTGTTGATTTTCCTCCCCTCCCTTCTTTCCCTAAAACCAGGCAGTAGGAATATGATTGCCTTTCCCCAGTACCAAAAGTATCCTTAGGGTGAGCTGGTACAGCCTCTTCACCACAGCCTTGACCACACGTGCCATCCATCACACCAGTGCCTGGATCAGGCTCTTGGTGCTGCCCCCGTGTTGCAGCTGCTGGAGGCACTGGTGAGGAGCTGGTGTGCTGGGAGCCCCCCACACAGCCTGGCAGCTCTGTCTCCCAGGCCCACAACCCACCTTGTCATCTCATAGTCTTAATTGCCACCAGAATGGATTTTCCATGGAATCTCTGAAACACAGTTTGAACACAACTGCTTTAGTGTAGCTCTGGCTGTGGGATTTGGGGCCTGGTGTGAAGTGACACACACACCCCCCGGTCTCTCTCGTGTTGCTTGTTCCTTTCACAGGCACTGTTCCACATCACTGTGGGTTGGGAGCACCCAGGAGGTGTTAAATTGAGTCAGATCACTAAGTTGGGGAGTGGGTTTGAAGGAAAGGGTCACCTGCAGCAAGAGGTGTTCTGTCATGGGTGTTATCACCTGGGAGCGGGGCTGTGCACAGGGGGGCTGGGGGGCTGGTGGCTGTGCTGTGGATTTTCCTGTCTCTTGTGCATTGCCTCCTGCCAAAATCCCACTGTGCAGACCCCTAGGACACACTGCTTTCTCCTCTGGGAAGGAGTATTCGCTTGGGATGGGGGCACACAGGAGGTCTCAGCCTGGTTTGTGCCTGTGCTGGAGCAGGAGAGAGTTGGGTCCCAGCTGGAGCACAGGGTGGGAGTGATGCTGGTGGGGCTCCCCAGTGTGCCAGGGCTCCTGCAGGGATGGGTTTGCCTCTCAGTCTGTGATGTGGGAGCTTCCCCAAGGAGCCCCAGGAGTTGCTGGGGTGGGGGGCAGTGCCAGGTGGGCACTGCAGCCTCTGCCCAGTGCTCCCAGCTGCGCCCCAGGATGCTGCAGAGCAGGGACATCCCCTTGTCGCTGTCCCCCACCACTGTCCTCTCTGGCCAGGGTCTTTCCCAAACTATGTCTTGCTTCCATGTCCCACTTTTCTCTGCCTTGGGAGCAGGATGGCTCGTGGTGGCTTCTCTCATTGCACTTGGCAGTGAGGGCTGGCGATTCCCAGGCCAGGGCTGTTCTGTGGCCACACGTGTTGCCCTCGTAGCACAGCAGGAACAGGCTGCTCACCCTGCCCTGGCTGCCAGAGCCCAGCACAGCCACCTTCCCTCCCCTGCTCCCAGCTGCCGAGGCAGGATGGAGCTCCCAGTCATGTCCGTGTGGGTGTGTGCGTGTGTGTGTGCGTGCAGGTGGCACTGTGACACTGTCACTGGCTGAGGCTTCAGCAGGGAAAAGGGCAGAGCTGAGGTGGTGTGCTGGGGTGTGACCTGTGAGCGCTGACCCGGACACAGGATCCTCCTGTGCTGGTGACAGAGTCTGCGGCCTCGTGGCGTCGTCGTATCCCAGGTGTCATATGGTGGAAAAAAACATGGAGTGTGCTGTAACTTTTCCATGTAAAGCAATCAAACTGGCATTAAAGAGGTTGTGAATTTATTGGGATTGGGCTCTGTGGCTCCACTTTGATTCTCCGTGGCGAGGGGTGCAGTGAGTCCCTGGGCCCCCCAGGGTCCGTCCCACAGCTGCTCTGCAGGTACCAGTTCCTCGGTACAGCTCTCACCTGAGGTTTATTGCTCCCAGCTGCCTGCTTCTGTTTGCTTTCCTGCTTCTGGGAAAAAGGAGAGGCACAGCCTCCCCCTCCCCTCCCTGCCTTATGCCCCTCAGCATGGACAAGGAGCTGGCAGTGCCTCGCTTTCCCCACCTTGGTGGGTTGGGGAAGCCCCAAAGCTCCTTCCAGCCCAGAATGGGACTGAGCTTCAGGGCTTGGGGTGGATCCTGCTGTGCCCCCCAGCTCTGCTCCCACCTCCAGTGCCTGTGGGACCCCATTGTCCCCATCGTGTGCCTGGATCTCTGCATCTCCTGCAGCCCCTTCCTCTGGCAGGTGGGCCCTGTCCTGGGGCAGGGTAAGAGCCGGGGACCTGGTCAGTTGCAGGGTCCTGGGGCTCCCTGCTACGCCACCCCCTTCCCCTCTGTTCCCTGTTGTCACCTGCACCTGGGGGCTGCTCAGGGTCTTCTGCTGCTCCCTGGACCCCCAGGACATCAGCACCTGGAGCTGCCTCCCCCCACCAGCCAAAGCCCCTGGTCCTGCTGCATCCTGGCCCATTTTGGGGAGCAGGGGACTTGGGGGGACTGGTTGCTGCTTGTCCTGTGGCATCTGGCCCAGCAGATAATAAATATTAATAAAGGTTTTATTAATTTTTATTAATAAAATAGTTTGTTTTCTTTGCCCCTGCATGGCCTGGGCCCAGGCCCCTCTGCCTGCCCCTGCAGGGCAGGGAGGGCTGGGTAGGGGGTGGCCCCAACCCCGTCCCGGGTGGCCCAGGCCCCTCTGCCTGCCCCTGCAGGGCAGGGAGGGCTGGGTAGGGGGTGGCCCCAACCCCTCCCCATGTGCTGCTCTTTGTTCCCCCCTGCTGCTGCTTAGGGTGGGAGACACAGGGGGAGTGAGATGGAGCCCCACACCCCCTCTGGGCTTCCCAGGCACCGTGGGGGGCTGGAAGGCACTTGCTGATGGAGCCCCCTGAGAGGCAGAGGAAGGGGTGGGGGCAGCCCCTTTACCCCCTGTCCAGGGCACCAGTGACGGCGGGTCCTCACTGGCCTCACGTTGTCTTGTACCTGGGCAGGGGGAGGCAGGCTGAGGGGGGTCTCTGCTGGGCACAGGGGACCCCACCCTGGTCACTCACTGCTGTGGTGGGTTGGGGCACAGCTGAGCCCCTGCCAATGCCAACTGCTGCTCCAGCTCCACGATGCGCAGCCCGATGTACCCCGAGGACACCAGCAAGGCCACCATGCTGGGGGACAGCCAGTGTCACCCGGGGGGGGCACAGTGGGGGGCACAGGGCTCAAGCAGTGCCACAGCCAGGCTCTTGTGTGCTCGCCCTGGGGACGGGTGTCCAAGGGGGGAGTAGAGGAACCGGGGGCTGCCAAGGGGGATGAGGACTGGGGGTGTCCTGAAGCCCCAAGGTGTTTGAGCAGGTTCTGGGGACTCACAGCAGCAGGTAGATGGTGATGATGATGTTGAGAAGGCTCAGCTGGGGGTTCATCCGGGACCAGAGTGCAGCAGCCCAGGCCCAGAGCGTGGTGTGGGGTTCCCCTGCCAGGACAAGGCAGTGTCAGTGCCTCTGAGAGCCCACGGTGGGCTCTGCCAGAGCTGAAGTCTCAGCAGCATCTCCCTCCCCAAGCCCCCTGACCCACTCCAGAGGCTGCGTGTCCCTGCCAAGGGCACCCGTTCGCTGCTGCTGGGAGTCAGCAGGGCCACCTTGTCATCCTCCTCCTCTGCTTCCCTCGGCCTTGGGCTTTGTTCATCTGTGGGTGACCAGGAGGCATTCATGAGTGTCCCAGGGAGAGGACTGGGGGTCCCAGGGGCACACAGAGAGCCACAGAGAGCTAATCCTGCACTCCCTGCTGCTGCAGGAGATGCTGGTCAGGGGGCTGAGGGCGGTGTGGTCGCCCCCAGACCGTGTGTGTCCGGGGAGGGGGAGCAGAGCCCAGAGGGGCCAGCAGGGCAGGGACGTGGCTGAGGACACAAGCAGGGCTGGGACCATGCAGGGGGTGCACCAGGGTGGCTGCTCACCCAGGGACTCGTGGAGGCTGTTGGGCTCCGGGGTGCTCTGCTCCAGGTCCGACTGGCTCGAGGTCTGGAAGAGGAAAAGCCCCAGCCATGGTGTGTCCCCAAGGCACCCACCCCACGGCCATGGGGACAAGGGCAGGACCTGATGACACTCATGAGGAGAGAGCTCTGGGGGTCCTGGGGCCTGCACTGCCCCGGGCTGGGGCTTTTCCACTCCACACTTCCCCCCAGAAGCCTTCCCAGGAGCCACTGCCCCCAGCCCACCCCAGTCGGGGGGCTGGGACCGGGACCACCCCTCCCTCTGCTGCATCTCCCTGCGCGCAGGCCCGCCATTCCCCGGCCTTACCAGAGTCTTCTCAAGGGTTTCCTCGTTGTTCACCGAGTCCCGAGGGCTCTGGCCGCTGTCCTGGACAAGGAGAGATGAAGGGAGGTGCCCTGCAGTGGATGGACGGAGCTCCCCCCCCAGCCCCCGCGTACCTGCAGCTGTTTGCAGACAGACCTCAGGAGCTGGTACGTGGCCTCTCGCTGGCGCAGCGACACGAAGAGGAACTGCCAGGGAGCGGGGAAGGGGCTTTGCACTGGAGCTGCTCCCTCGGTCACGGCCCAGGGCCCTCGGGGACCCGGACACCCCAAACAGCCCCGGGCGGAGCCGCCTCCCCCCCCAGCACCGCCCCCGCTCTCACCTTCTCCCCCTGGGCCGTGCGGATGCTGAGCGCGTTGGGCACCAGCAGCGCCGTGTTGGTCTTTTTGAGGGCTGAGATGGAGGCGATGGGGACCACGA